TTGGGACATGCATTCTCTTAGGCCCTTGTGCTTAGGTCAGTCTGCTACATCTATAATTAAACAGTTTATTTTCTCCTTTAAATTCTTACTTATAAACAATGAGTCCAGAATTTGTCTTCCAGTTCAGAACAAAAGCTGGTTTTGCATTCAACCACAAGCTATTAACTTTTTTTTTTCTGTTAGTACAGTTGTTACAGAACCAAGCACTACGACAGTAAAGAGCTTTTCAGGCTGTAAAGCACCAGGTAAATATGTAGCGCTGTGCGGTTGGCATGAGTCGGACCACAAAACTTCCCACAGTTTGAAGTGTCACTTCTCAACTGAGACATGTATAGTTCCAGTTAAACTGAACCGTCGTGTGATAAATGGATTATCTCTTGATGCAGTTCAGAACAGATCACGCAGAGCTGCTATCTGAGTTACCCAGACAAAGCGAGAAAAGGGCAGATCGTTTCCTTCTTCAGCACAGGCACATGTAAGAGGTAAATTGCTGTTAACTTGAAAAGTCCTAAAAGTCTGCAAGCCTGGGGTAAGCAAAAAGTTCAGATGGCTTAGAGCCTCTCCCAGCTCCTGAGAAGGTGTGCCTGGAGACTTCCATACATCATTTGGATGAAGAACATGCATCTTAGAGGAAGAAAAAAAAAAGATACTGCATTTTAGAGGCAAGTAGTTAAGCTCCAGGTATCAATTACACATTTGCACATAGCACCTTTCAAAAATACCTAGCTCTTCTTACCTTTAAAGATAAATATATTTGTGTCTTCGAATTTTAACTGCACTTTAATGTGATTAAAAATAATCGGTTAGAAGTAGGTACAGTGCATTTTTCACTTCAGTCCAGAAGTCAGGTACAATAGCATGAGCTTCCCCAGAAAGCTGCATGGCCACGTTTCCTGGGCATGTTGCCTTTGAGGTGTGTGTATGATCCTCCTGCCTCTCTGTACGTGTTTAGTGCCTCTGCACCAGCGTGTTGGAGCGGTGTCACCCTCGGCAGGGGATCGTGCAGCAGGGCGGTGTGAGAACTCACAAGCTGAGGTGCAAATACATGGTTTGTGAAGTGAACTCATCCCTGGATTGTCAGAGCTTGGGCACCTTATCTGCCTGCGTTTTATTCTGTTGGTGGAAACATGTTAGTTTTCAACTTCTTTTTAAGCTTGTGTTTAAAAATGAGCTCTGCTAGGGTTGAAATTCCTAGAATTGAATAAAGACATGTAAAAACCCTACAAACTGAGATTGTTTTCTGTATTTTCCTTGCATTTGGTTTAATTCTTCATTTGGTATGGGTTCTAGTAACAGTGGACCCGCTGAGTGTGCACCACTTTAATCTTGAACTCTTGAGATGCAAAGAATGGGAGAGAAAAATTAAAAGCAAAAATGTCAGGGGTTTAGTTGCAAATAAGCTGCTCAGCTGCTGCTTCAGACATTACCATCACTAATGAGTAGTAGCACAGCAGAATTGTGTGAGCAGTGTTTGAAAGAAAGGAGGGGAGTAGCACCTGTTAGTGCATAGAAAGGGTTTCGTCTAATTTTGGAGTATTTCTATTCAGTAGCCGGACACAAGGCTATTGCGTTCTCATTCTCTGGTTGTCCTTTTAGCAGCCTGTTCTCTGTCTCAGAAGTAGCTCCTGAGAAGTTATTTTAATCTTTAGCCCATTTCCTATTTAGGGATTTCAGGGCTGTTAGAGCTTTTGGTAATGCAGTTGTTTGTTTAGTTTCACATTGCTAAACAGTCATTCAAATACTTACAACTTATTCCCAAACAGAAATCAGTGGGTTTTTTTGTCTGTTCTTTCTTGGCTTACTTTACATCCAGGCTTGCAGTTTGATCTGCAAGGTGTAAAATTTAACTTTGAAAAAAGTTAATACAGATTAATTCACTTCACAAGAATGTTTTGCTTCTGATCTTATGCCTTTAACTTGATGCTGGTTTTGGTAACTCATGCATTTGGTTGAGATCCTGCATAATACATGGTTCAGGTTTTTATTGTGAAAGCACAAACTACCTTTGCACATGCTTATACAGGCTTTCTTAAGCATTACAATCTTGAGCTTTAAGTCATATATTTCTATCAGATGGATTTCTTGTCAAAACCCTTTTTTTATCTATAAATAATTGCATTATCCTGTGTGCATTCAGTGTGCTGGGTATGGGAACATGTGCAGCGGGGGTTGAGGTTAAGGGACGTTTTCTGTTGTTTTGATCACTTCAAATTGGATTGAGTTGAAATTGAGATACAATATGACACAAGTTAACTGCAAAGTTTTCCTCGGTCTTATAGAAATTTGATACAGAGTTGCTAAATCTATCTGGAGATCCAATGTGAATTAATGGATCCAAACCTAAGGCTCCCCCAGAGCCTGCTGGCACCAACTGGATTTTAATTACATCCCACACATTGGTTTAGTTATCCTCATAGCAGGTAAAGTGAGTGGGACAAGTTAACTCTTCCAAATCGGGGAAGAAGAAAAGAGCATTTATCCTCTTTCTAGAGGAGGAGATTTATAGCTTGATTTTTCTTCAAAGGGAAAAGGACAGTTGAAGAAGGTGTATAGATGATGGAGGAAAGAAAGGCGACGAAAGGATATAGAGAGGTAAAGTAAGCAAATTACATGGAGAGGAGTGAAGAAACAAAAATTATGTTGGGAAAAATTAACTGGAAAATGTGGACTGTTTTATAAGCAGAAAAAATTTAAGATGGAATAAATATAAAAGGTGCAGGCACATCAAAACACCAAATTCTGTGCAAAGGGACAAAAAGTAAAATGAAAGACAGTTGAAGTGGAAGACATAATTTTAAATTTAAGGGAGAGAGAAGTGTATATGCTTATTTTAAGTAATTTTTTGTTTTATTTATGTAACCCTTCATTTCTATTTAATGTATTTTTTTAAAAGTTCAAAGATAGAGCAAATGTAAGGTTTTTACTTGACTTCTGATACTGAATAAAATCAAAGCCAAAGATTGAACCCCATGAATTCTTTATTAGTGTCCTAAATTAAGAGACTGATAAACAGATTCATTGCATCAATCTGAAAATTAATTTTAAGAAGTGATGTTTGTGCCCTTAGGCATTTCTCAGTGCAGGAGCCCAGAAGGAAACCGTAGCCTTTGGTAATGCTTGCAGACGCCAGGGACTGGGCAGCCGCTGATCCCTTACCATGTCAGCGGCGGAGGAAAACACTTGGATCCTTCTCGAGCATTTTTTTATGTCATTCAATTCTAATTTACCATCAACTATCATAGCTTTACTGTGGACGTTCTCAAATTGGCATTGGAGGCTTGACATAAAACCACAAAGGCGAGTAAATTCCACGTTAAAGCTGAAACTTCACTCTTCATTTCTGGGTTGCGCGGGGGTGCTGTGGGAACACCCAGCGTTTGAAGCCCCGCACACAATGGACCAAGTTAAGGATGGAATTTCAGCCCAGCCTTAACGTTAATGCAGCAGAGCTCTTTCTGGTTTGATTTCTTCTTATATGGCACCGTTCAAGACAAAAATAAGCCCGAGTCAATCTCAGAGTCATTTTAAATTACGTTTACAAGAATCTTGCACAAGAAATAGTAATAGATTCTTCTCACCCATTGCCTCTCAGTAAATTTGAATTTTTGTATCCTGCTTGCTTTGAGCTTGCACTGTTGGAAACTGCTGAGGTGTTAGATTACAGATACCTTAATATCTGAAGTCCAGCCTTAAATACATAATTGTTTCCTACAGTATACCTGTCTTTACTTGAAACTCATTTTGTGGAGTAGAATTAAAGAGGAAAACTCGGCTTTTTGCCCTGTGCATGCATTTTTATGGGCAAATGAGCTTTGACAGTGTTTTTAGAAACATCAGGAATGTCAAATCTTTTCTTTTATCTGAAGGACTCCTTGGATGACTCAGGGAAAAGTACTTGGAAATTAGTCAGGATTTAACTGAAGTGGGAAGAATACTGAATTACCCAGAGAGAGCTTGCTCCTCTATGCGTGCTTTAGTTCGGTACTTTAAAAGAAGATCAGTCTTAATGTTAAGTGTTAAGTTAATCAGCCTTTTCTTCAAAACATAATTTTTATTCAGTCTTTGGTTAGGCGTTTTGAAGAGTGATCAGAATAGTAATTCGGTCGTTTATCCCTTCTCAGAGCAAATGAGAGTTACGCTTCTGATCTTTTTCTCAAAAGTCTATAGCGCTCTGCTTCTTCCCATGTATTTCCATCCTGTACCAACCGTCTTCGGTGAGTCCGGCATCGTTTCTTGCCAAAGACATGGAGATACACGTATTGCAGCGCTACAGGCTTGGGGAAGAGTGGTTGGAAAACTACCAGGGAGAAAAAGATCTGGGGGTGTTGGTTGACAGCCTCTGAACATGAGCCAGCAGTGTGCCCAGGTGGCCAAGAAGGCCAATAGCATCCTGGCCTGCATCAGGAATAGTGCGGCCAGCAGGAGTAGGGAAGTGATTGTGCCCCTGCACTCGGCACTGGTGAGGTTGCACCTCAAATCCTGTGTTCAGTTTTGGGCCCCTCCCTTCAAGAAGGACATTGAGGGGCTGGAGAGTGTCCAGAGAAGGACAATGAAGCTGGGGAAGGGTCTGGATCACAAGAATTATGGGGAGCGGCTGAGGGAAGTGGGGATGTTCAGTCTGGAGAAGAGGAGACTGAGGGGAGACCTTATCACCCTGTACAACCACCCGAATGGAGGGGGTAGCGAGGTGGGGTTCAGTCTCTTCTCCCTGGTAGCAAGTGATAGGACAAGGGGAAATGGCCTCAAGTTGCACCAGGAGAGGTTTAAATGGGATATGAGGAAAAATTTCTTTACTGAAAGAGTGGTCAAACACTGGAAGGGGCTGCCCAGGGAGGTGGTGTATTCACCGTCCCTGGAGATGTTCAATAAGCGCATGGATGTGGCACTTGGGGACGTGGTTTAGTGACCATGGTGGTGTTGAGTTGATGGTTGGACTCGATGGTCTTAGAGGTCTCTTCCAACCTTAACCATTCTGTGAATCTGTATTGGGGAAGAGAACGATGGTGAAGGATGAGGACACAGCTTTTACAAGAGTGTGTAAGCTGCTATTGTAGACCTGTCTGTATTTTATACTTAGCCACATGACATGGCCCATACCTACTTCAGGATGCCCATGTCTCCTTTTTTGAGACAGCAGATTTGCTTTTGCTCAGAATTAGGGACTATCCTAGACCATAGTTTCAGGAATAACTTGGTCACTGGCAATAGTAGTCCAGAAACAGCGAACAATTTGGTGGAAAGAAGTGGTATAATTAAAGCAAAGAGTTTGGTAATTATGCTCTAGAACACCTTCTGAAATGATTATATTGATTTGGAGAATAATCACAGTAAAGTGTTATGCTTGTATTGTTTGTTTAGGGTGTGAGAGTGGTTTTGTGTGGTGAAATGGAGAACTGAGACAGTACAAGGGTCAGAGTTGGCAGCATGGCTAACAAAAGTGACAACCAAGATATGAGAAAGATACCACTCAAAGCTTGATTAAATGCTGACAATGTGTTTACAGAAGAAATTAAGAAGATCATCAGTATGGATCTTCAAAGGGCAAACGTCCAGCTACATTCAATTTAATTAAAATTGCAGAAATAATGGTATTGAATATTTTGGTCAAATAATAAATTATATGGCTTACACCTGAAGAGTCATCACTTTTTTGATGTGGTTACAACTCAATTGTGAATTTCTAGCTTCTGATGCCAAATGTAGCAAGTTCAAGTCTTTAATTGGTATTAAACCAATTTGAACACTATCACTGTATTGTTCAGTGAAGTATTTTAACAAGTGCTTAGTGCTAACATGAAGGTGCAAGGCATGGGATTAAGTGACAAGTTGCAGCCTTCTATTTAGAAAAAGATAGTAATAATTGTCTCCAGGCTATGGCTGTAGGTTCACCAGTTGTACCCATTGTCTTGTGATCCTCAAATCCTGTGAACGTATGGTCCCCATATCCAATTAGAAGCTGTGGTGAGTAGAGAAAAAAGAGACCTAATAACACAGAGTTGAGGTGCTCCATCCTCTTCTCTGATGTCTCATTGTCCACTGAGCTGGTTTTTCATGGTTTCTTCAATGGACTGGTTATTGGCCGCAGCTTGAGGTCCACCCTTCTGATCCCAGAGTGCTTCACATCCAAGGAGCTGGGGAATTGAAGGAGTGGTTACTCCCAGACCACACCTGATCCCGTTATTTGGAGCTGCCCGTATCAATAGCAGTCCTTCATCTCTTTCCTCTGCCTCATAACCTGACAGTAAACCTTATGTTTTCTGTTTTAACTTCAGAGCCCAATCTGAGAACTAGAAGCTATTGTCCCAAAACAGCCCGTATGTTCATCATATCATAGCTCCCTGCTGTCTTTCCCACTTCACACCAAGGTCCTGGCACATTGTCAGCTGGATGAAGGAAGTGCCACTGCTGGTGCTTGACCGCAGTTATTCAAACTGCGAATTAGCAGTGGCCATCCTGGAGGAATAGCAAGTTAAGTCTAAAGTATCAGAAATCTGATCACAGTGGTTCAGAGTCCCAGTCCCTTCTCACTTGCACACTCCCTGGGTGTGTGCGCACAAACACACAGGCGCCTTGTTACCTGCTATGCTATTTACAAATGCCTGTCCACATTCCCAATTTTCCCAACGACCTCCCATGCAACTGGATGCCTCTTGTCCAGCATGTCCTCCATCAGCATCCTTTCTGCCTGTGTCCCATGTTCACCCCATGAACATCCTCAGCACCACAGCCCCTGTGTTTTACCGTCAGCTGGTGTGAACCTCACTGAACCTGTGGCTGCTCTGAGTGTAACCAGGAGCCTCTTATAAAGCCCAGTCTCAGGAGTAACCCAGTTTGCAAAATGCAGCGCACACCAGCACTGTACTGGACCCCTCAAATGCCAGGCAGTCCATAGGAATGATCCAGGAACTGAAAAATAAACAAATAGTTATGGTTTGCTAGAAGATGTGATGCAGCTCCTGGGTAGGTCGTGCCCTGGGCTGTACTCACTCACCTGCATCACACCCCCAGTAATGCCACAGCACTGACCTACCTGCAGATCCATCTTGGTGTTCACTGACTTGTTTTGAGTATGTTCAAGTTGGGATCTTGGTACTTAGCTGTGCATTTTCTTGATTTTCCTTCACTTTCTCACATCTTTGAACAGCCCTAAAATTGAGTGATGCTGCTCGTGGTAAAATCGTTCCACAATTAATGTTCAAATACACACAGTGTTGTGAATTTTGCAGTCTCTCGTTTTCCTGTTGTCACTTTCTCTGAAATTCTAAAATGTAGATGTCTCTTTCACTGTGTCTGTGCCATCTCTTGCTGCCAGTAAATGCTGTTACTGCTTGTTAGTGTTGTCAACGCATGATTTTGATCGTGTGTCTTTCAATATTTAAGGGGCATGTGGAAGTTTTTTGATTTCTTGACTAGTTGAATCTCTGGATTTGCTGATCCAATCTCAGACTCTTGTCAGTGTTTTCATTGCTTTTCCTGTTTTTCTAATTTCTCTGAGAGAGAGGCCCATACTTAAACTAGGACATCATTATTCTCCCATCTTAAGAGTTGCTCCACAACTCGATAATTAACTTCAGGAGTGGATTGTTTGCACAGATGCAGAGCACATTTCAGCCTTTGCTGAGCCACTCACTAAGCTGGCAACGTACTATTGTTTGGTCAGTGTAGTTTTGTTGGAGTTCGCAAGCTGAATTTGGCTCAGCCAGAGTCCAACAAGTCAGAGAGCTGGCAAATAAGGAGATGCAGGACCATACGGCCAGGAGGAGGGCAGTGGGAAGCGAGGGCAGCCTTTGGTGACAGCAAGCCATTAATTTGGCTCAGCTGCATCGTCAAGGAATGCTCTCAGTGAAGCCAAAAACCACATTGAGTCTCATATAAGCATGTCATTCATTAAGACCATGCCATAAAAGCTTTAATTCCTTGTAGTCTCTTGTTGTGGCTACCCACAAAATATTGAGGTTAATCAAGATTGGGTGTAGGATTCTTTCTAATTACAGAGTTGGTCTACAAATGCAACCATCCTTCTGCATGGGTTATTTGCTCTCTTTCAGAAGGAAGATGCCACGAATGCAGAAGGGGATGAAAGACTGTCGCTTCGGAAGCACCGCTTCATGCATTTTGCATCATTGGAATACGAAGGAGAATTTTACATGACACCAAGAGATTTCCTGTTCTCGGTAGTGTTTGATCAAGTTGAACGTAAGTCGTTTTCTCATCATTCTGTTTGTGAAGAAAAAGAAACTTGCAGGTGCCCTTAACAATGTAATTTGCAAATCATTGGGATAAGATCCTTTACCTGACATAGATCAGCAGAAGCCAATTTATAAATGTTGTGCATGTGGATTCTCAGATGCTTCCACCCTTCACACCAGTGAAGTGAGGCTGATGATTTAGAAATCTGGTGACTTGATGGTGACATTACATCTCTGCATAATTCACATGTCTGATCACTATGTAGTTCCTCTATTACTTACACACGACAGGAAATAGTAGGACTGGAATATAATAGTGTTCATACCATTCCTGGCCCTGTTATCTGTCTATCCACCACACCAGTAAGTACTCAGTGATCTTTTTTCCTAGCAGAGGTCGCGATGTGAGTGACTTGAATGAGTGTAATGAGGCATTGACCTCAGCTCTAGGTTCCTGGTTTCAAATATCCTCTGGTTTATACAAACCTAGATAAGAACAAATAAAAAAAAGTCCTTTTAAAATCATGCTTTCTGAGGAGAAGATAGGAGCAGCACACAAATAAATGACGTAAGTTGTTGTCCTCCTTTCCTCCTGGTTTTCTGGCCTCATTATCTCTGCCCTTAAGCTTGTTTTATCTGTCTTTGTATCATCTTCTGTCATTTCCATGTTACAGCCTTTTTTTTTAGGTGAGACATGTTTTCTTCTCCAAAAGTTTGGCTTTTGCAGCATTTCCAATAATTTTTTTTGCTTTAGAAGGGTTAAATTCTCAAGGTTTCAGAGAAGATTATCAGTAAGGGGACAAATAGTCTGTTAGTCCATCTGAAAAGAGAGGGAAATCCCAAAATTAATAATTGTTTGCTGCAGTCTGCACATACTGACCATGGGAGCATGTTGTCTAGCAAAAGCCATCCATAGCCCAGGAAGCTCTGCTTAGGAAGCAGCAAATATCGGGGTAATTTGAGGGTATTGCACAGGAATTATGGAAGGGAATTCAAGGTACTGTGGAAAGGTTTGAGAGACAGGGAGGAGGAAGGGCATCTAAGCGCACTTTGATTCAAGCCTGTGGGAAACCTGAGGCAGAACAGAGTTTACCGAGCTGCAAGTGGTCAGAAAATAGGACACAAGAATCTGTAATAAAAGGATTTTGCTTGTGTCTGCCAAAAATCTATAGGTGATCAGGATATGTGGCTTCACTGCTGACACATAACTTCTATTATATAAAGCTGAATATAAAGCCTTAGAAGGACCTTATGACCTTGGGAGTCGTGGAAGCTTTCAAAATAACTTTTGGTTTAGTATATGGCTAACGGAAATAGTTCTTTCCCATCCAAAACTTAGGTCATTTAAACTAAAAACCTAGAAGGTATTTTCTTCTGCTATTTTCAACCCGAAATACTGAAAGACAGTGAATACTGACATTTTCCGTTTCGAAGGTGTGGGTTTCAGACAGTTGCCTATGAAAGCAAGGTTAGAGAAATAAGTGTATTTCAGTCTTAGCAGTTCATACATATTAATTGGTTACTCCAGCTATAATAGTACACATGCAGTTTTTTAATGAAGTGGTATGCGGCTAAGATTCATTTGTAATGCAGCCAAGTTAATTGCAGCTACTTTGCTAATATAAGTAGGAAACAGCATTAAAGAGAAAAGAAAGAATAATCACAAGAAAAAAACGTGAACAACAACAAAAATCTTTGCACTAATGCATATTTAGCATTTCAAATTCAGGTCAGGCTTACATAGGCTTACACAGGCTTCATAGACAATTCATGGAAAAATGTTAATACTTGAATCTAATGCTCCTAAACCCTTTTTAAACCGTCATTGGTGTGGGTTCTTTGGCCAGTAGCATAGACACAATGGTAAGCAATTCTCTTCAAGATGTATTGCTTGGGACTTTAGGTTTTCTTGTAAATGCAGACAGACATAGCATTTGTTAGCAGAGAAATGTGGTGCTTTAAGTATTTTAAAGGCAGTGGTTTGTTCACTGTGTTTGCAAAATTTTCATATGAGGAAGGTCCAGGTCTATCTCAAGTGTTCTTCCAGGTATATTCAGAGCAGATCAAGATGGTGAACTTCATAGCAAAGCAGCAATTGTTTTAGGAAACTTTCTGTTTATATAATGAAATTAATTCCCTTTCACCCTGAACAGTGCTTTTAGAAAGGAAAATGCGTGCCACCACTAATCATAGAAAGGTCTTCACTTACTGGTGTACTGAGATGCAATTTTAACATGTGATACTGCATATAAATGGTGAGGCTTATAATGCTGAACTTAAAGCTGTGAGGATTTGGTTATTCTCTACCTATTTTTGATTAATCACTAACCAAAAAAAAAAAACCTCTCAGAAAAATTTGAAGCAGTAACCCTGGCAGTAACCATTCATGTTTACAAATATTCACTTGGAGTTTGCCAATTTCTTGTAAATAGTATGTTATTATGTAGTATATGTTGGGTATTATATATAATATATATATTAATATGGAAGGCTTAGGGCTGTTCTGAAGTTTTGTTTCTGCTGTCTGTTTAACAGATAAAAGGCAGGAATGTATGACCAGCCTCATGTGTAATTTAGCTGTGTACACCAAGAATGTTGCTGAGGTTGATCACAATGTTCTGTTGCTTTGCTTCTGTTCAGAGATAAACACTCCCAAAGGGGAAAAAGGGAAGCGAAAAGGGAACAAGATGCAGTTATGGGTTGGGAATAGAGGTCCTTGTCCAACAGCCTTGGGGTTTTTTGCTTGCTGCGGATTGTCACTGGAGAATTACTTTGAAATCTCCCGTTGGTTCTTAAGCATAATTGAATTTAGAAGAAAGTAAATGTGGTATTGTGTAAACCAGATGAGTTGTTGGTGCTACATCAAAAGTGTTGACGTTAGAACATACCAAAATATTTTAGCTATGTCCAGATAGTCAAGTGAATTCTGTACACAGTTAGAGGGAATTTATTACTGAAGCAAAAATCTTAGGTGTGCCCTTTGACAAGATTGCAAAACATGAAGTAAATGATGATTTATTATAGAACACTTTCACAGATAAGAAAACAGATGAACTGTAGTGCAAATATATCAGCTGTCATCCAGCCCAAGTGATCTTGAACCCTGCTTGATAGACCTTCGTTCACTAGTTCTGCTCATTTGTTTCCTGGTTTATGGGTTTCTCTATTACTCATTTCCTTTCAGAAAGGCCAAAAATTGTGAAATCTTGGCTTTTTTGATTAAATCACACCTGCAAAGTTATTTGCTGTCAGGGTGATAATGAAGAAAAATATTTACAGTCCTGCCATCTAAGGAGAATGAGCTGATAACAAATGCAGAGTTTCCTGACAGACTTATTTTGGTTTGCATGTTGACAAAGCAAAGAACCCTCTAAAGGAAGAAAGGCACCACCACAAAAAAAAAATTGATTACTTTTGTATGCAGTGTTTCACACTGGATTATCTTTGTAAATATTTGTCTAATTCTACTACCTTTAGTTATTTTATGGAAGGAAGCAGCCACCTCTATAAACAGTGGCACACAGTAAATGAGTTGTGGTGGTATGGCACAGCATTTGTGCTGGTACAAAACACCCTCGAAGGTGGTTTTTACCAGTTAACACAGTGCATACGAAATGCACCATTGGCATTTTGGGATTCCTGGCTATATGCCATGTAATCTTGTGTTAAAGCAATGCTACTACGGGGATGTGTGGCAAACCATTGCAAAACCAGACCATCTTTCCGGGTGATCTGTGGGATGTCAACGTAACCTGTTGTATCCGATGCAATGAGAGTTTAGGGTATAAGTGTTTTCTGTTACCCTTCTTACCATGATGTAAAAACGTCTCAATGTCTAGTAATACCTAATCAGAATAATATGAACCTGCTGTGTTGCATCAGAAATTCCAGCATTTTTAAGATAACAGATATAAGAAGGATAAAGCTCGGCTGACTTACACTGAATTTTCACTGCAATGCAGGAGTATTTTTAAAAGACCCTTCCAGCTTCATGTAAAACTTGTGTTTTAAACAGTCGTTCATTCTTAGGCTCACATTCCAGATTATACAGCCAATATTGTGTTAGAGCTTCTCCATGGAAATATTATCTCTAGTGTGCTGTTGTTGTAGAACACATAAGAAAATCTGTGTTAACTTTTGAGGAGGACTGCAGATACAAGAATCTTTCAGAAAATTGAGATTTTGCAGTACATTAAATCTGGATTTGTTTGTGTTCATTTTTCTGGAGATTATTCCAGGAATTCTCTTTCAAGTAGAAGGCAAATGTACAGGTGACCTTGTCTGATAGTAGTTGACACCTGGTAAATAAAGATCTTGATCCTTTTGTATGTACTCAGTCTAGGTTTAATGCATCATAACATCTTCACGTCCCGAACCACTCCTTTATCTGCTGTAAAATGAAATTTTCCTGTGTTCTGTAGCACCAGTGTGCCAAGGGCAGTATTTCCACAGTAGAGTCCTATCTGTTAGGGAATATTGGTGTGTTGTAAGTTTGGTGGGAGTTTTTTGGGTTGGTTAAGCTTGCTGTGAAAATGTGGTTGGCACAGGTTTGCAGTAGGTTTGCAGCTTTGATAAGTTGTGTGGCTTGGTCACGTGTGGTCACAACTGTGAGTGAACCTGAGGAAGGGACACAGTGCCAGGCTGCGGTGGCAGAAAATACAGTTCTTGTCCTCAGCAGAGATCAGTGCTGGTGCTGTCGGGAGGTTTGGAGAGCCCAGAGGGACCTGCCAGGGGATGGGCACTTCCCAATGAGCCGAGTCAGTCTTTTTGGTCTGGATCTTGAATTTTTGCCTCTAGTGGGAGCTCAGGTGCCTACACATCAATGTCTTCATTTTGACCTGAATTTCACATACAACAACGAATCAGACTGATATGAGTCGTGCTTTAGTGTCACATCTAAAACTGAGTCAAAGACTAAGATTTAAGCTTGTGTGAGTGGTGAAGCTCCATATGGGAAGTGAGGACTGAGATGTCATACAGGGAGCTATCAGCACAGCTGGAAAACTG